ACCTTAACAGGTTTCTTTTACTGTCATGTAACACCCACTTCGGAACCTGAGGGTGGCCTTGGTTTCTCATCATCCGAGTAAGTTATCTTACCACATTTATCCGGTTTTCAGTACTCCACTTGCGTTCTAACAAACATGACAAAGTTCCCGATATAGTATGCTTGAGGATGCAGTTAGAATTGATCAATCCGCTTTATTGACAATTAAGTATGTAGTACAATATTGTTCAGTCTTTGGCAGAATATGTTGATGTCCTTTGCTGGTATTTTCTGTCTGGCCACCACTTGCAGTAGACCTGAGAACTGTCGGACATAAAAGATACTACCCTCTTTGTGTTTGTACACATTTAGCTGCTTGTTGCATATCATTTGACGTATTGAAGACCTTGAAATGACGCTGTAAAATATGTATTCATTCATAAGTTTTTGGGCCCCATGTTGCTATTCTCGTTTTTCCTTTTTTTTCCCCCCTTCTTTTTTGTTAATTGGGTTTTTCATTATATTATTTGACAATTTTCTCTTATTCTTAGTTCTCGTTCTGACTAATGTATATTTTCTACACACTGGAAATAAGCTCATTTAAGAGGTGGTTCTTTCTGATTCCAGTAATCTGTGTGTAGAATGAAAAGCGTACCCTGCTGAAAGTCAGGCAACCTGGCAGGTTTTTGAAGTTTTCCTTTTGTGGGTGGATGGTTCATGAGGTTTTAACAGTGAATTATTATGTTTTCGGTCCTGGGCAGGAACGCAGGAAAAGGAGCTATGTTTCCGCAGAAACATTTTGATAATGGCCACGAGGATACCAATAACTTAGAGAGTAAGTTAAGGGAAGTTGGTAATGTTGCTAATGGCAATCATTCTACAAAGCAACCGATGTTCCAGAATGGGGTCTTGAGGACCAATTGTATAGATTGTCTGGATAGAACAAACGTTGCACAGTTTGCATATGGCTTGGCTGCTCTTGGATGCCAGCTTCACGCTTTAGGAGTATTAGATTCTTCCAAGATAGACCTTGAGGCACCTTTGGCTGATCATTTGATGGGATTTTATGAAAGTATGGGTGATACACTTGCCCATCAGTATGGAGGCTCAGCTGCTCACAACAAGGTGATTTAGTTTGCTTTTTTTTTTTTTAAACTTCAAAGCTCCAACGTATTTTTGCCTTTTTATTTCGTTACCTTCTTTTCTTGCATCTCTGATATATGGTAGTGGAGATTTAATGGGCAGAACTAGAACCTACTCTTGACTGGAGGCAGAACCTAGTCTGGTTTCATACGAAGTGGAAGATGTGATTCAGTTTCAGAAAATGTACATCTGTCCTGAATTTTGCTAGGCAGTTTGGATATAACCTTAGATTGGGTTATAGTATTCAATCAGATGTACCAAGGCAATGTGCAATAATGTTACCAACTCTTGACGAATCCTAGTTCAAATAAATGAACGATCAATTGCTGAACTTAAAAAGATTTGCATACCTGAACTCTGTGGTGATCAAAATTTGTTGTCATTTTGATGAACGGGAAAATGGCCATGGAGACACATATGAAAGTCAGTGCATATATGAAAAATGATCCGTAGCATAATATGACATCTAGGTTTCTTACTCTGTTTCTTAAACTAATACATCCTATAGATATTTTCGGAGAGACGGGGCCAGTGGAAAGCAGCAACCCAGTCTCAGGAATTCTTCCGAACTCTTCAAAGATACTACAGCAATGCATACATGGATGCGCAGAAACAAGATGCTATTAACGTGTGAGTGGTTTCTGACTTTAAGTAAGCATCCTTCATATGCAGTCACTTGAAAACACTTTGTTCCGTGCTGCCAATAAATCATATGGATTGAGGTCCATCATTGGAGTTCACTGAGTTCCTAATGTGTCCTTTTACACTTCTCTGCATTTTGTGGACAATATCTGCCCACTTTTCCAAATGTATCCTTTTACTTTTCTGCATTCTGGATTTCTTTCTATTACTTTGGCAAAACGGCTAATCAAATTTGTGTAAATTTCTATTGGAGCAGATTCTTGGGCCACTTCCAGCCACAACATGGGAAACCTGCACTATGGGAATTGGATTCAGACCAGCACTTGAGCGCAGGAAGTAATAGCCACGATATCAGGTAGCCTTTTCAGACCAGTTCTTCATGGTTCCGTAGTGCAAGCTGTGGTACAATTTACTATCTTTCTCCATCACTGTACTTGTTTGGATCCCAGCATCTGCTACTGGTCTGTCATTTTGCATCTGCAAGGGAAAGATGATTGGGTTTTTGAGCTTTTGACCGGTGGTAATGATTCTCTTGTAATTGTTAGAAGTTAATAATTATTTTCGGACTTATTTTTATATGAAAAGTTAAATTTTTTGGGAACTTTTATGGATGTTTAGAGATGGTAGCGAGTATTTGTGCACATTGAGGGATTGCACTGTCAAGATGTTTCACTAAACCATCCATTTCCATTTCAGGCTTTATTAACTGTTTCATTTGTTGCCTCGCACTATGTGAACAGGGTTTGTGATGGTTCCTCTGAATGCATGCTATTCTGTCGCTTCTCCTTCTTCATACCTTACTGGATGGTTGACTTCTGTTTTTTGTTTAGGTCATTTTTCAAAAGATCATTGTCAGATGGAAACATTCTTCGCCACAGTTGTCACCCAGTATCCGCTCCAAATCTCAAAGGAAATAATTTTCCGAAAACAGCTTTGCCCGATCAATGGCAAGGAGCAGCCAACTGTTACTCAGGGTCATCCCCCGAGATATCATCCTGTAATGCCAATTTGGCATTTTCAAGGTTTGCTATTTCATTGCTTGACTTACAGCTGAAGAGATATCATGTATTTAGTTCTAGATTGCTGTCTTTGCCGAAGCCCCCATATTTCGAACACAAAGTCTAGTGTTTTATGCTTTTGATTGCTATAGTTTTCACATTGTTTTCTTAACAGTATTAGAGCTTATTTTCTCTTAAAGTCCTTTTTCCTTCCTTTTCCCCCTTTTTTATGACTAATTTCAGCTAGAAGCTTAGTAATTATAATGCATTTCGTCAATCAGTAAATTCCATACATCTTTCCTTAAACATTTATTCTTTGAAATTAGAATGTAGTGTTGGATAGGTAAGCACCCATAGGTTGTGGTTTCCTCTTGCCGAAGCAACATGATAAGTGAGAAGTAGTTTACTAACTATAATGAATTTCTGTCATTCAGTAAACTTCATGCATCTTTCCTTATACAATTATTTTTTGAAATGAGAAGTACTGTTGGATGTGTAAGCACCTATAGGTTTGTGTTTTCCTCTTATAAAAGCAAAGTGATAGAAAATTGTATAGTTGCATAACTTGCCGAAGGAAACGGAGGTTATATATTTATCTATAAACATATTGTGGCTGATAATGTGCTGTATGTCACCTTGGAAGAAGGTATTATAATCGTGGTACCTGATATTCCAAACTTTTCAATTGATTTTCGTTGTATTCTTGCATATGTATGCTTCTGGGTATATTTTGCAATTTGACGACACTTATTGGGTGCAAATTAGGTACACTTCGCAACTGCCTCACAGACAGCTGTTTGGAGACATACAAAGAGATCAAATCCATGAAAGTGATCATATTTACTTTTCTGAAGACACACTTAATTGGTCAAATTTTGTTGATCTGGACTGGCTGTCATCATCCGGGAATTCATTTGAAGATGAGCCATTTGATAGGTAATTTTTGTTCCATCTTCAAATGTCAGGCTCATTTACAAGTTGTAAAGGAGCTTGGAATATAATTGGTCAAATTTACTAATGCAGGACTTCAGTGATCACAAACTCCTCCAGTGCTGGGCAGTCGTCATCAGATAGTTGTTTCACAAATGGAATGATGACCAGGGAGCGAACCCCAACTGCTAGTGAATATGGATCCTTGAGGGGGGTGAGTAATTTTTCCCACTTGTTTGTTTGCTTTGTTGAAGCTCTTGTTTCCTGATTCTTGGTTGCGTTAAAACCCTGTTTCGTGTATTTGAAGGAACCGGAGACTGAACCAGAGCTATCTGCTGCTAGTAGTTCACAGCATCCCAGCGCGTTGGACGACTACTCAGATAGTTTCGTCCACTGGGTAAACTATGGAGAAGCACTCTGCCATTGAGAGATGTTTACTGCTTGTATCTATCACAAGATGATTACTTCCTATTTTCCACCTTGACTTCACCTGATCCACAAAGATGTTTGGTTGCTGATGAACCCCACCAAAGGCAGTACAGAGGTTGTTAACAAGCGTCACGTCGCAGAGGTTCCAGTTTCTAACAGAGGATCCTCAAAGGACGCAAGCACTGATGGAACGAAACCCTAGATTGAGACCAGACACTAAACAAGGAGTAAATAGCCACAAACAATCCAGAGAAGAAAAAAAAACCCAGGAAAAAAAAAACCATTCATTTTTTTGTTCCTTTTGTCCAGTAAATTTGTGGGGTGTTGTTATGTAAATATGGTGGTCGCGACGACGTTAATTCTTTTGCTTCCTTGCTTGTTTGAATGAGTTGTAGGAAGTTTGTCCTGGGGATGAGAATTTCAGAGATTGGATAGGGACTAATGTGAGGTTATGCAGATCCTAAAGCCTCCCTCGAAAGAGCGAAAGGAATTTCTTTTGGTTCTCCACAGCAACACATTCAGTGACTGCCAAGAACGTGTTAATGTTAACAAAAGCCTTCTGTAGCTATCTACTTAGTCTCTGTATTATTATTATGTCTAGTTTCTTTCAAGTAGAACGATTTTTCTTTCGTTTTTGCTTGTTACACCAGTAATGACATACTGTATGCGTTATTCATTCTCTACATGAGTGTCTGTCCTGCCTCGATCGATAGCCGTAATAGCTTGCACGGAAATATTGCATTATGTTTCCCATTATGTCACCTCTCTTCAATCGCACAATGTAATGGTTATCATCAAACAAAAACTTCTCGGTAACAGAAGGATAACAGAGTCCAAGCTCCAGTTCAGCTAAATCCAGCTGTAATGTTGAAAAAACGATTCAGCTAAGAATGGGAAAGATGCGAGTGACGTGGTCCAATGGGACAGCATCGCCGGAGTTCTTCTTGAGCTCAGAATGGTTGAATTCAGTCTTAGGAAGAGCAATGACTTGACCACCACCTTGGCCCTTCTCTATAACCCACCCACAGTCTGCCACTCGCTGTTCGAGGAATTTGTCCAGCGACAAACCTTCAATGTTGATGGCCTGACGGAATATGACAATGAGTCAGAAAATGGGTACACAGATCTAACATAGTGTAGACAGGAAGGCTTTTGTTTCATTCAAAGTCATCTTGGGTTGTGTAAGTCAGTTGAAAAATGGTGTTTGGTTGCGACTATAATGCCCCTACAGGCACAGTTTGATTTCCTTGCATTCAAAAGTTGCATGTAATTCTGAAAAAGTGATTCTATTTGAGCTACAAAAGAAAAGCTTCTGTACCTCACATAGTTGCTGGTAGAATCAGAAAGAGGAATAAAAATCATTGTGAGCTCTGACAGGAAAAATGCATACCTCTGCTAACACGGACCTAGGAACCTTTTGGTAGGTCAAAGAAAGGACGTGAACTGCATATGCTTGGATAGCTTGCTCAAACCCTGCACCAAGAGAAACTCAAATCATACACAAAATGAAACTAAAGTTTCCGAATTGTAATAGTAGATCTTAATGTAGGGCTGTCTTAGTAAAGCTGATACAGGCATGTGTTCACAAGCAAGCACTCCAGACTGAAGCCATGCCCTTCAAAGAGAATGCCACAAGAGTCCTAATCATCTCCAGCATCACCGAATGGCACAACGGAATATGACGATTCCCATGATGCTCCCAAGGCAACTTCAAACAGAAATAAAAGAACCCAATAAATAGTGGCTGATCAATACCTGGTACAGCGTCAACAATATGCCGACTCTTAGCTGCTTCATCCCAGAATAGACGAAACCCACCAGTCTGCAAATTACAATGAAGAGAACTAAAAAATTATATCGGCTTACAGGAAACCTAGAAGTTACGCGATATATATGTTATATATACCTCAAGATAATGTGAGAGGACAATCAGAGTCTTGAACGGCTGCTCCATTTGCTGATTATCAGAAATCAAAGTATACAAATTAAGCATAGGAAGACAAGGGTGGTAGCTGAAAATTGGGTAAAACTATTCAAAAGCACCAAAAAGTAAACCAAGCATCTGCGCCACATGCCAATAGAATAAACCTTGCAAACCAAAAGATGCACATAACAAATAGATGGTCTTTTATCAAATAATTGTTGGACAGATTAGATGAGCATTAATCAAGGTGGCTGCAGCATGTTTCTCACAGTTGAGTAAACCAAAATGCTAAACCCCAAAAGATAGTGATCAACCAAATAATAGGCGAGACCAATATGCTCACACGAAAGAATTGAGTATATAAAAATGATTTTTACAACCAAATGCATGAACATAGCAAGAGTGCCAAAACAAATAAATCATTCCAGTGTAAGAAAAGAGACTGTTCAATACCACTCTTTCTGGGATCAAAAAGTGACAAAGGCTGAAATCTGGAGCCGGCATTGCCATAAGGGCCTGCATAAACACAATATGCGCACCTCAAAACAGAGTTTAAAGACATTACATAAAAGTGAGGGCCAATTTAAGCAAGCCAACCAAACCTTAACCAAAATGCGAGCAACAATTTGGGTGCTCAACCGCTCTGGCTCAAACTGCAGTAAGAAACATCGAGTAACACTGAAGGTTAAAAACTTGTATTAATATGTATAATGTGACAAAAGCACCGTATTGGGTGTTAAGGGAAGCAAAGAGCTAATAAGTAAACAAAAAAGTTCAGTCACAGCACCTGATAAAGGCGAAGAAGGCAGAGATTTGCATCTAAACTGTATGTTTGTGAGGCAACCTGTTCATCAACAAATATAAATCAACATCTTAATAACCGATTAAATATTCCATTTAGACTGGATAAGAAACCAAAGGAGCACATGGATCCTATCATCAGCTCTAAATGTGTGCTATATTTCAGGGTATGTAATGGTGCATCCTTGGGTTTGACCCTTCCAAGGTCTACACTTTTATTTCATATGTTCCTGACTCTCACAGAATACATGCTTCTAAATGAAAACCCTTAAAGGCACTGGCACTTGAAAGACTGAAACATAATCAGATTCAACACAAGCAGATGCATGCCTTGATTTCACCATAAGCAGATAGTAACACAAATCAAAGTTGATGATCAACGTAACCTAATGAACTGCAGCCACCCAAACAAGACCCGAAACTCGAATTCACTTATAAAAAAAAACAACTCCGAACCGGAAGAAGAAAAAAAACCAATTCACAGAACAATAAAGCCGGAATGGATTATTGCGTTACAAAGGCTGATGATCGACAATGGATGTATGATCGTAAGAAGGAAAAGGCAGAGTGGGAAGAACCTGCTCATTGACGTAGTTTTCAAGATCGGGGAGGATGTCGGGATTGTAAGGATTCACAGCTACCAGCTGCTCCACTGTGTATGAGACTTGCTGCTCAGATTTCTGAGGCTCTATTTCCCTTCCCATTCTGCGGCGTAGAGGGTTCGACGGAGTAATCTACCGATATATCTCACCGGCGGCACAGACCTTGGTGGATGCCTGGAACCGAGAAGAAACACTCACCGCTTTGCTTAAGGGTTTAGGCCTTTAGGGTACCAAAGGGAATGATTTAGCTTTCTAACCCTGCGAGGCGTTATGAATTATGATTGAACACCAGAAAGACACATATGCCCCCGTGAGTCGTGACTTCAACAAAAAAATATAAGATCGTTTGATGGAAGCATTGAAGCTCAAGATAGCGTGCATAACCCATATGCATCAATTAATCCGCAGACGCAGGAATAAGATCACAGCTCTGAAGGATGGGAATGGCAACTGGGTCACAGACACGAAGGAGTTGGCGGGGCTCATTTTCAGCTTCTACTCCGAGCTTTACTTGCAGGATGACACCACCTACAGTGATCTGCTTCCGAAAGGGGATTTCCCCAGGCTCAGGCAGGAAGATTGGTTTCAACTCCTTCGACCTTTCACTATCATGGATATTCACAAGGCGGTCTTTGACATGAAACCCTTCCAAGCCCCGGGTCCGGATGGCTTCCAAGCAGTTTTTTACCAACAAGCCTGGAAAGTAGTTGGGAAAGATCTGTCAGAGATGGCGATATCTTTCTTTGAGCATGGAAACCTTCTACCCGCTGTTTCGGAGTCCACTGTAGTTCTTATTCCTAAGGTGGAAGAGCCAGAATCAGTCACTCAGCTTCGCCCCATCTCTTTGAACAATGTCAGTCTGAAGGCCATTACAAAAGCGATGACGAGTCGTCTGAAGTCTGTTATGAGAACTCTTGTTTCACCTCGGCAATCCAGCTTTATTCCAGGTCGTCAGACGATGGACAACATAGTGGTGGTTCAGGAGGTTGTACATTCGCTGAGAAAGAGGAAGGGGCGTAAGGGTGGCATGGTTGTGAAAATCGATCTGGAAAAGGCCTATGATCGGCTTCGGTGGGACTTTCTGAGGGACACCCTGACCGAAGTTGGCCTCCCGAGTTCTTGGATCAGATGTATTATGTATTGTGTTCAGCAGAACAGGATGCGCATTCTTTGGAACGGGGAGCTGCTTGAGGCCATTACCCCGACTCGTGGAGTTCGCCAGGGAGACCCTCTCTCTCCTTATCTTTTTGTGTTATGTATGGAGCGCCTTTCCCACAGAATAGATAAGGCCGTTCGAGATAAGCTATGGAATCCCATTCGCTTATCTCCGAGTGGCCCGGCTCTAACTCATCTTTTCTTTGCCGATGACTTGGTTTTGTTTGCAGAAGCGAAAATCTCCCAGGTGAAGATTATAAAGCAGTGTCTTGATGAGTTCTGTGAGAGTTCCGGGCAGCGAGTGAACTGTGCGAAGTCTATCATCTACGTCTCACCAATATTCATCATGCCAGAGCCCAGCGCCTAAGTATCAGGGCTGGTATTCCCCTTGCCACCAGCCTAGGGAAATACTTGGGTATTCAGACGATTCATGGTCGGGTTACCAGAGGTCGATACCAAGGACTCCTGCTGCAGATCAAGAAGAAGCTGGCCCCTTGGAAAGCCAGGAAGCTGTCGCTTGCTGCGCGCTTGACTGTTGACAGATCAATTTCCCTGTCCATCCCTGTTTACCCTATGCAGACTGAGCTTTTGCCTGTGAATGTTTGCAATGCTATTGATAAAATTAACAGGGACTTTATCTGGGGGAAGGAGGAGGAGAGAGGGAAGATTCATCTGGTGGCGTGGGATAAAATGGCCGAGCCTAGAGCGCAGGGAGGAGGGGGTCTGAGGTCCGTCCGGCATGCAAACCTGGCTATGCTTGCTAAAGGCGGGTGGAGGATTATTAAAGAAAAAGACTGCTTGTGGACTCAAGTCATGCGATCGAAGTACGGGAAGCAACGGGAAGGTCTTGAAGTGCTTCGCCCTGTTAAGGGAGGTTCCTTTACCTGGAACAGTTTGAATAAAGCCTCAAACCTTCTTCGGAAGGGCTGTGCGTGGAATATTCATAATGGGAAAGGAGCTAAGTTTTGGCGTGATGTTTGGCTTTTGCAGGTTCCTTTGACCGAGGTGGCGCTTCAACTGGTAACGGAGGAGATGCTGAATGCGCATGTGGCGGATTATGTTGATGAAGAAGGTAGCTGGGACATCGATCGCTTGGAGGCTTGGCTCCCTCCCGAGGTGCTCCAAAAGATCACGGCGAACCTGGTGGATCCCCTCACTCTGGAAGAAGACACTATCCTCTGGACCGCTTCCTCGAATGGCCACTTCTCAACCTTCTCGGCCTACAGTCTAGCCTTACCTCCAAGGCACGACCCGAATGAGAAGATGTGGCGAACCATTTGGAAGCTCCCGGTTGCAGAAAGAGTCAGGTGTTTCGTTTGGCTGGTGTCCCTTGGGCGCATCGTGACTAATGCTCTCCGCTATTCCCGTAAATGTGCGGAGTCCACCATGTGCCTTAGATGCGGGAACGATGAAGAGACCATCCTTCACTTGCTTCGGGATTGCTACCCTGCTCGTTTCTTCTGGCTGAGATGGATCCCCCAGGCGGAGCATCAGAGCTTTTTCAGCAGCAGTCGGGAAGATTGGGTCCGAGACAACATCCTTAAGGAGGATGTGATGGAGTCTGGTATGAATTGGAACAGCTTCTTTAGTACTGCAGTGTGGTGTATCTGGAAGAACAGGTGTACAGGGTGTTTCCAGGGGTTGCAGAAGGCGCTTTCTGCACCCTCCCTTGCTTTCTCCATCCAGCAAAAGGCTATTTTGTGGCATAAAGCTTGGCAGGCCCCTACGGTGAACTTTGGCCGCCAGGGATCCAGGCCGGAGAGGATTGAGACGCAGATTCTTTGGAGTCCCCCTCGAAATGGGTGGGTCAAGCTTAACGTGGATGGGGCGTCGGCGGGCAACCCGGGGATTGCTGGAGCCGGGGGTAGTATCCGCGATGAGCATGGTAAGTGGATCCGGGGTTTTGTTGCTATAGTGGGTGAAGCCTCGGCGACCCTTGCTGAGCTCTGGGCTATTTACTATGGCCTTCATCTCGCCAGGAAAGGCGGGTATTCTCGTGTCCTTGTTGAGTCGGATTCTCAGTTGGCTATCGCTTTGATCAAGAGTCGGCATGACCCTGTTCATCCCTACGCCGCTTTGTTGGCTTCGATTCGGAGGTGTCTGGCGCAGGATTGGTTGGTCAGCATCGGGCATGTGTATCGAGAGGGGAATAGAGTCGCGGACTGGCTCTCGAAGCACAGTCTCGTCTATCCCCTGGGTATGCATGAACTTGTTGACCCACCGCCGGCGTTGGCTCCTATTCTTATGGAAGATTGTATGGGCATTTCTTTTCAGCGTCGTGTTGTGACGCATCCCTCTTCCTCTCTGTAATCCTCTTTGCGGCTTCGGCCTCCCTTCAATGCAAAAAAAAAAAAAAAATATGAACTCTTCATTTTATTAAATCCATATCTAAGCATGGAGAATTAAATGTCATTTTTATTTTTCTTATTTTTCTTAATCAGCCTCATATTTTTTTCGTTTTAACTCGGATTTTTTTTTTTTGCACAGATGGAACGAGTTCATCGTGCTCTACAAAATAAGATCAATTTTCAATATTTTTTGAGAAAAAATAATTCTGGCCTCTCGGTACCAATTGCATACCATATGGTATATTCTTCGTTTTTAATTCGTTTTTGAAAACGTTTGCACAGAAGGGACGAGTTCATCATGATCTATTGGATCTACAAATTTCTGGGTGAACAAATTACAGGACCAAAAAATACCACACAATACCATACAATACCACCCCGGTACGAGGTGGTATCTTGTGGTACACAATGTTAAAAGTCGTAAATGACAGTTACTATATTTCTACAGTTCTACTATCATGTATTCAACCATCCTACAGTCTTGGTTTGTTCATACCACCATGGTACGCTTTTCAAACCATAGGTATGCTCTTAATTCAATACCGGTCAATACCATATGGTATAGACTGGTAAAAAATGGCTCAATTGTTTTTGTTCGAAAAATATATCAAAATGGATATCATTTTGAAGAACACAACAAAAAAAATTAAATTTCGACTTAAAACAAGTGAGAAATCGTCCATCAAAGATTAAGGTGGGGAAAATTAAAGGCTTTCCAAGAGAGAGAAGGATGCTGATGTCATGCTGATGTGGACGGGTCACCATAAGATTACTGACCTGATTCGTTCCCAAGCTTTGGGACGGGGTGTTTTAGATTAGACATCCACCTCAATACAATTGCAATGCCAAGTTCAATTGCATATTAAGGTTTTTTATCTCAATATTTTTGCAATCCAACTCGTTTACATCAATTCAATTCACTTGCAATTGTATTGTAATTAGATATTATCTCTAAATTATAGAAAATAAAGTAAAAGAGAAAAGAAAAAAATAAAAAATCTCCATTTTTTAGGCATTTTTTATTTGCATATGCAATTGTATTTGTTGAAAACTTACAAATATGCAATGAGTAATTGCAAACACCCATGTCATGTTATTCTGCAATTGAAAATGCAATACCAATGGGAATCCTCTTACTAGAGCTGACAAATTGTGCGGTCTGGTTCATATCTAATCATATATACAATCTACGATTGAGATTAAAGAGGTGAAGCATATAATGTTGATAAGATCAAATACTATACTTTTATATAAAATCATGCTTATTCAGTTTGGTTACGTACCTTTCAGATCAAGCAGGTAACGTTGAGTAAAAAATAAACAGTTTGTTCGATCGTACAAAAATTCTAACCAATAATTAAGAACATATGTTTTTTCTTCTTCTAAAACCTTGAAAATTTGGATACTCTAAATCCAAAAATATAAAAAATACACGTAGTTCGAGATACCCAATTTCCACTACAGCATCATAAACATTAACATAACGACATATGGAGATGTAATTCCCTCTGCTCTCTTCTTTGCAAAGTGTGCTATGTGAATGAAGGAGAAGACATGATTGAAACAACGAGGGTTGAGACTTGGACATCAGTGGAGAGT